TATCTTCCACGGAAGGTTGTCCTCTATGGCCTTTTCTACCTGTCGGTGAGCTTGTTGATAACAGGCTGTTCAACTCCTAATCCACGTTGTTCATTAAAGGGCTTGGAGGACCTAGTGGGTATGTTAATGCTTGTTGAACTAAATTCAAGCAACCCAGAATAGTTGGCTTTCCTGTGACATCGTGTTTAAACGTGAAGTCAGGCCGGACGCGGCGGCTCATGCCTATAATCCCAGCACTTTGGGGGGCCGAGGTGAGAGGATCACCTGAGCCCGCAGGTTCAAGACCGGCCTGGGCAACTTGGCGAGACTTCATCTCTACAATAAATTAGCTGGGCATGGTGGCGCACACCGGTAGTTCCAGCTACTTGGAAGGCGGAGGCGGAAGGATTGCCTGAGCCTGGCAGGTTGAGGCTGCGGCGGCCAGGAGCGTGACACCGTCCTCCAGCCTGGGAGACAGAGTGAGACTCCAATTCAAAAACAAAACAAAACCAAAACAGAAAAAATAAAAAATAAATAAAATAAACATGAAGTCAACATTAGTTTTTCCCGACCTGATATGGGAACCGTAAGCCTTATGAAGACAGGAACATTCATCCTAACCGCAAACACACCCCGTGAGCGTGGCTTCAATCCAGTTTTGTCTTGTATTTCAAAGGCAGATGAAGGCGAAGGAGAAGAGGCTACTGTCTCCAGCAAGAGGCAAGTCAGAGAGCACAGCAGAAATCCAGTGTTCAGCAGCTTCTGCAGTTCCATGGACCTTGACTTGCAGCGTACTCAGCCAAGGGGAGCTGTCTTTGTCCTCAGCCCTTTCCACGGCAGTTTTGTCTGAAAAGTTAGAAAATGGAGGCTTCATTCTTATTGCAAGGTGCTTCTCACTCATCGTGAACACCAAGATAATTCACTTTGATTCTTCTTTTTCTCTCCTACGCTTTATCGGTCTGAAAAAATCTGCTCCGCTTTATCTACAAAATGTATCCGGCATCCTGCAATTCACAGCATTTCCACCGCTACCCACCATCGTCTCTGTCTTCCTGCTTCCATCCTCGTCTCCCTTCAGCCTCTGCTCCACTGAGCCGCCAAAGAGATCTTGGTAAGTTGTAAGTCAGATTACGTCCTAGTTACTTCTCTGCCCTCATCTCTCACTAGTCCCCTCTTGATTACTTGGATTTAGCCTCATTTCACCTTGAATATGTTCCTACCTTGTGGCTTTTTCACTTGCTGTCCCCTCTCCAAGGAATGCTTTTCCCCTAGATATTCTCAGGACTAGCGAGAATATCGCACTAGTCCTCCTTCGGGTGCTCAAATATCACCTTCTCAGTGAGGATTTTCCTGAGATTTCCTTATTAAAATTGTACCACTCTCCCAAAAACTTCCTAATCACCTTATCTGCTTGATTTTCCTCCAAAAACCTCATCAGAATATAGTATAAAATACTTTACTTGTTCATTATATGTTTCTCTTGACTATATAATTTGTAAGCTCCTCATTTAATACATCCAACTAGAGAAGCTGAAAAAGCGGAATCTTTCCTTTCCCAGTCATCTTTGCAGTTAGGCATGGTTGTGTAACATAGCTCTGGATAATGAAATGTAATAGAAATCTGATGGAAAGACATTTTTTTGAGTCGAGGTCTCACTCTATCACCCAGGCTGGATTGCAACGGCACGATCATGGCTCACTGCAGCTTCGACCTCCTGGGCTCATGTGATCCACCCACTTCGGCCTCCCAAGTAGCTGGGACTACAGGCCCCTGTCACCACACCCAGCTAATTTTTTGATTTTTTATTTTTTGTAGAGATAGTGTCACTATGTTGCCCAGTGCTGGTTTTGAACTCCTGGGCTCAAGCTATCTTCCTGCCTCAGCCTCCCAAAGTGCTGGGATTACAGGTGTGAGCCACTGTGTGCTGTCTTGATAAAAGAGAAGGTGCTACCATTTTCCCTTTGTGCTGCCTTGAACATTGTTTAAGACGTGTTGCCTGAAGTTGGGGCAGCCATCTTGTAACCATTAGGCAATATCCATGAGAAAAAGGTCAAGAAAATGATGTATATTCTGTCTCTTACAATTTCAAGCCACTAAAGTGACACCTGTATCTACTTACTTCTGGACTGCTTGATATGAAAAAAATAAACTCCTATTCGAGCCATTATAATTTGTGATTTCTACTACTTGAGACATTTATACTTGCTGCTGTTTTGTTTTGCTTTTATGAGTTGGGGTGTCACTCTGTTGCCCAGGCTGGAGTGCAGTGGCATGATCACGTCTCATGGCAGCCTTAATCTCTTGGGCTCAGGCAATCCTCCCACCTCAGCCTCCTGAGTAGCTGGGACGATAGTTGTGCACCACCACTCCTGACTAATTTTTTGGTTTTCTTTTTTTCTGGAGAGATGAGGTCTCAAACTCTTAGGCTCAAGCAATCCTCCTGCCTCGACCTCCTAAAGTGCTGGGATTATAGACTTGAACCGCCATGCCCCACCAAGTTGACACATTTATAACTGATATACTCATCTACTGTTTGATACGCCTTAAAGAGACCCATGTCTGATGGAGAACCACTTACCTGAAAATTGACTTAGCAGCCAAAAATTCAACGAAGCCAATGAATTAAGCCTGTCTTTACAGTGCAGCTGTTTTCCGAAGAAGCTGGCCAGAGCCTTCCCCTTAAGTCTCTGAAGTTCCAAATAGAATTCCACTATTCCTTATGACATCATCAGCTACATTTAACCCTCTCCCAGTCTCTCTTTGACAGCTAAGCACACAGACATCTTTTTCTGTTTATGCATAAACATCTGTGATAGAAAACCCATCCTCACAGTGGTTGTGCCCTCTCCCTCTTAGGCTTGAAGAATTCTAAGATATTTTATTCATCATATGGCATCTACTACATCTTATAATAGTGTATATATGGAACTTTAATAGATGATAATGGCGGCATTTTATATCAGTGGGGAAAACAAGATTATTTAATATGATGTTGGAATGATTGGCTATTTGTTTATTCGTTTGGATGCATCAAAATGAGACCTCTTTGCTACACTATGTGAAAATAAATCATATATAAAATCTGAATGGATATTTTTATAATCTTGGTGTAGAAAAAGCTACTCTAACTATGTCATAAAATCCAGAGCCATAAATGGAAATGCTGATACATTTATGACATAAAACATAAACCTTTCAAACAGCAAGACATTGTTTAAAAAAGGTAAAAGACGAATGACAAATTAAGTAATAAATTTCACAGCTTATATGGCAGACATTAGATTAAGATTGTTATTATACCATACAAATAACTCTTACAAACCAATTTAAAAAGAAAAAAAAAAGTTCTCCATAGAACTAGCAAAAATGACATATCAGTCAGGGTTCTATCAGAAAACAGAGCTACTAAGAAATATATAGACCCCCCCGCCTTCTTTCTGTGTCCTGATGGAAACTCGTGGAGTTCCTTGACCACTCTGTGACCAGCCAGCTGGCAGGTTTTTCCCAACAGGCCTGAACCAAAACCAGGCCCTTGAACATTCCCAGGCACTGATAAAAATATCTAGGTTGTTGCGCAAAATGCTGGAAGAAACTGGCCCTGGCCCTGAGCCAAATTCCTCTAAACTCTAATTTAAAATCCACACCCTGACCCCTTGCTGCAGACATACCTGGGTAGAACAGGTTTTTTCTCTCACTGCAGCCCTCTGTGTGAAAGTTCCCCTAATAAATGCTTTGAACCCATCATCCTAGTATCTGGGGCTTCTTTCTTTGGAATCTCTACTGGCACTATCTCAGGATGGTGTGGGGAACTCATTTGTGGGAACACCACTTTGGGGGAGATTCCTATTGCAGGTCTGGTAGGATGAAACAGATTATAGGGAACTGCCTTCTGCAATTCTAAGAATTGTTTAAGCAGTCTATGATGTGAGGCTGTTGCGTCTGTGTCTGCTGTTGGGGCCTGAAGTCCACGGGGCAGACAGTCAAGAAGGGAAGATGAGGTGAAGTCAGAGAAAGCAAGCACACACTAGAAGCCTGCAAGAACACGTTGGAGCCCACGAGATGGATGAAAACCTGCTTTAGTCTCGTAATATCGCCAGGCTTCCAACTGTGATGTTGGGGTAACCTGCATGAGAAAGGAGTTTTGTGCTCATTGGCACTGTGAACACCATGTGGAAACAGCAGCAAGAATCATTAAGCATTGTGGTAAGAGCATGTAACATGAAATCTGCTGTGTTAACAACTGTTTAAGTGCACAAAATGGTATTGTTACCTACAGCCACAGTGTTGTGCTTTATGCCCATTGAACAGCAACTCCCATTTCTTTCTGTCTCTTTCTCTCTCTCTCTCTGGGCTCTTCTCCTGGATTGAGGCTCCATTTCTTAGTTCTTTTAGTTTGTTCAGCTTCTCATGAATCGTATCATTCTTCTCTGAGTTCAATTTAATACGGCTTTCTATGTCACTAATCTGCTTTTCTAAAGTGTCCATTCTACAATTTGGTGCCTCTATTTGTTTTTGTTTTTGTTTTTTTGAGTAGGAGTCTCACTCTGTCGCCCAGACTGGAGTACGGTGGCCGCTCCCGGCCACCGCAGCCTCAACCTGCTTCCGAGTAGCCGGAATTACAGGCACGCGCTACCACGCCCGGCTGATTTTTTGATTGATTGTAGAGATGAGGTCTCGCTGCCCAGGCGGGTCTCGAACCCGCGGGCTCGGGTAATCCACTCACCTCAGCCTCCCAAAGGCGCGGGATTACAGGCTGAGCCACCGAGCCCGGCTTCTATTTGTTTTAAAAATATAACCGCTCACGTTTTTCTTTTCAGGGTACAAACACAAGTCTCAAAGACATTTGTTTGTGTCCATATTTTATTTGACTCATTATTGAGGAAGACAAAAGAGCACTGGAGAAATAGAGATCTGCATACAATGTAAAAAGGATGCCATGATCATTAAGTCAGACATAAGAGTGGCTGACCTTTTACAGGTAATACAACCACTTCAACTTTGGGGTCAACTCCTCTAGCCTCAAGTTAGGGAGTGACTGGAGCTGAGGTGGGCGGGGTGGGGGCCAGGTGGGTTCTATCTTCAGTAGAGCTGCTGTGCCTCACAGCCCAGGACCTCCAGCCTCAGGGCAACCTGGTGCACCCAGCTCTGGGGGTGAATCCGAAGGTAGCGAGTCAGCAGTGGAGGATCTAGAGAGTTCACCACAGGTGTGAAGGAGTCTTGGTTTCCCTGAAAAACCTGAAAGAGGAAGGATAGCATTCATTAGTTATCTGAAGGAAAACACTCCAGCCTCCCACCAGACGCCTCAAGCCCATCAGCCTCCTACTCTGCCACGCATCCAGAGCTCCCCATCTTAACCCTGCCCCTCCTTGGCATCCATCTCAATGCCCACTGCAAAGCACAGACACTTTTCTCCAATTCCTTCTAGGAGTCCAGGACTGAATCCTGGAAGGTGACTGAATGACTCTGTGTTCCACACATCTGGGCCAGGGAGTGTAGGTGTGACATCTAGAATCAAGAGTGCCCTGCTTTGGAGGCCTTTGTTCTAGCCAAGCCTTATATCCAGGCTTAATTTAAATTTTTGTATAAGTCTGCAATAATCAAAACAGCCTGGTATAGGTACAAGAACAGGTATATAGACCAATGGTACATAATAGAGATTCTAGTAGCAAAACCTCAATTTCTCAACTCATCTTCAGCAAAGCCTCCACCAACAACCGTGGGGAGAGGAAAACCCATTCAGTAAATGGTCTGGGAAAACTTGCTGACCACATGTAGAAGAATGAAACAGTACCAGCACCCCTACCTAATTTTACCTTGTGTACCTCCGTATACATTTCAATCTAGTTATCTTATTTATACTGAAACAGAGTTTGAAATAAACTAGGCTACTTCTTAGTAGAACATGCTAATTTCAGAGAAGCTAGTTATTTTTTTGTTTTGGTCCTAAAAACAAGTATAATAAAAATAAAACCTAGGACCGGGTGTGGTGGCGCACATGTATAATTCTAGCACTTAGGGAGGATGAAGCGGGAGCATCACTTGAGGCCAAGAATTCAAGACCACCCTGGGCAACATAGCAAGACCATATTTGTACAATTTTTTTTGTGTTGTTGTTAGCTAGAGCTGGGTGCGGTGACTCATACCTGTTATTCCAGCACTTGGGGAGGCAGAGGTGAGAGGATTGCCTGAGCCCAGGGGTTCGAGACCAGCCTGGGCAACTTGGTGAGACCTCGTCTCTACAATAAATAAAAAAATTAGCTGGGCGTGGTGGTGCCCACCTGTAGTTCCAGCAACTTGGAAGGCTGAGGCAGAAGGATCACCAGAGCACAGCAGGTCAAGGCTGCGGTGACTGTGAGCATGCCACTACACTCCAGCCTAAACTATACGAGACTCCAACTAAAAAAAAAAAAGCAAAGTTAGCTGGACGTGACGATGTGTGCCTGTAGTCCTAACTGCTTGGAAGGCTGTGATTGTGCACTCCAGCCTAGACAGTAGTGAGGCCTTGTCTCTAAACAAAAATCAATGAAATAAAATAAAACCTAGATACTTTACATAGTTTAATGAATGTTTATGGTTTTATAGTAGTGTGGGCCTAGACAGGAAATTGAGACCTAAGCTTGGTTGCCTGGAATACTTTCAATAGGATTGGTATCTGTCATGTCTCTTTTAAGTCTACTTTTTAACATAGAAGAGATCCCTAGTCTCTGATCTTTTTTTTTCCTTCGTTACACTTATATTTCGATAGTCCAGGACATTTGTTTTATAGGATGTCCCACATTCTAAATTTGAATGACTGCTTTCTTATTATTAGATTTTTAGTTAACACTGAGTAGGGGATATGTCATGCTCACTGCATCACATCAGGGCACATGATGCCAGAGTGTCCCATTATTGATGATGCTAAGTTTGACCACTTAGTTAAGATGGCGTCCACCCAATCTCTGTGTTGTAAAGGTAGCCGTTCTCTTTTCTAACAAACAATCTGTGAGGTGATACTTTGAGACTGTTCAAATATTCTGTTTTCCAACAAGCTTTCATCTAATGGTTTCTGGCATCCATTAGAGTTCCTTACAAGTATTCAATAGCAGATTGACGGCTGCAAGTTGACTTTTCCAATTTCGTCACTTCTTCTCCTCCCCTCTCTCTACTTTTTGTTAAACTGTGATTATGGACTCTTGGATTATTTTTGATGCTCAAATTTGGCCAATAGGAAGGCTTTCAAGTAGCTTCTCTGTTATTTTTACATGGCTCCATCAGTCTGAGTGCGTGCTTGTATTCTGGCACATCAAGATGTTCCGAGAACACCTGGTAGTTTCCTTACTTCATCTTGGAATCAGTCATTTCTCTAAGGAGTCCTGATTCTTTTTTACCGGGAAATGGTAGTTAGACACCAAGATCTGGGTCTGGGATATATTAAACGCTACTGCAGTGTAATTACTTCTAGGTCCTCTCAGTGAACAGTGCTAGGAAATATATTTCTTGAAATACCTGAGTTCTGAATGATACTTCTAATTCAATCCTAATATTCCCTGTATTAGTTTGTATTAGATTTCTAGGGCTGCTGTAACAAATGACCACAAACTTGGTGGCTTAAAAATAAAAGAAAAATTTTTGTTTTTTGAGTTGGGGTCTCACTCTGTCACCCAGACTGGAGTGCAGTGGCAGCCTCGACCTGCTGAGCTCCGGCGATCCTTCCGCCTCAGCCTTCCAAGTAGCTGGAACAACAGGCGTGCGTTACCACGCCCGGCTGATCTTTTGATTTATTGTAGAGATGAGGTCTTGCCAAGTTGCCCCACTGGCTCAGGCAATCCACTCACCTCAGCCTCTCAAAGCACAGAATTACAGGCTGGGCCACTGAGCCCGGCTAAAAATAAAAGAAACTTTATGCCGGGCTCAGTGGCTCAGCCTATAATCCCGCACCTTGGGAGGCTGAGGTGAGTGGATTGCCTGATCCCGCAGGTTCGAGACCCACCTGGGCAAC